TTCTCTGTCTCCTCATTTTGTCAGCTTCTCTGTGTCTGTTTCTCTGTGTTAAGAAAGTCAGCTGTGTCCTCTGCTCTTGAAAGTAGTGACTTTACGAAGAGGAGTTCCTGGAGTACCCTACAGTGCAATGTCCCCTATTCACCAGAAACTGGTACTTCAGGAGAATATCCTATGTGTGTTGCTTACTTACTGATACCATTTTGATAACTAATAATGCTGTGCATATTTAAATATGTTAATTGGATATGACAGTACTTAATTTTATTAAGCATTTTATCAACTTTTGATTTCTAACAAAAGTAGGACTTGAGATGAGTTCCAACAGTTTATGTGTTAAGTGATCCAAAGAAGGCCTCAAAGAACAGATATACAAATCCAAACAATCACAGAAATTATTTAATATTGGTGACTAGCCACAATATCAATCTGGAGTATTCTGCTTCTTTCTTTCATGTCTCTTTGTCCTCTCTGTACCAGGGCCACTTTCAGACTTCAACCAGAAAAATTCAACCAATGGACATCAGGAGAAAACAGTTTGGGATGCACTGAGCATTAGGCACAGCTTAGAGAAGAGCAGACTTGATATTCACTGTTTTCACCAGTTAGGTTCTAAAGTCATTTGTCATGAAAGCAATACATAACTAATAAAGTGGAAAAGGAAGGATGGGTGAAAGATAAAGGGAATAAAGAATTAAGGAAGAGTTTATTGTTCTTTACTAAAATAGTAGAGGGGCGCCTGGGTGGCTCAGTGGGTTAAAGCCTCTGCCTTCGGCTCAGGTCATGATCTCAGGGTCCTGGGATCAAGCCCCTCATCAGCCTCTCTCTGCTCAGCAGGGAGCTTCCCCTCTCTCTCTGCCTGCCTCCCTGCCTACTTGTGACCTCTCGCTGTCAAATAAATAAAATCTTTAAAAAATAAAATAAAATAAAATAGTAGAGATTTTAGTATTCAAAAAGGATAAGGAAAAATATCTATCTGTATTTAGGAGTGTCTGTGTGTCTGTGTGTGTATGTGTTGTGCATAAACTTTACTTATACAGCAGCAGAATTCTTAAAAATCAGAAAAAAAGGAAAATCAGAAGAGAGAGTAAATATAAATATGAAATTAGCAAACCTCACTAAATACCTAAGTATAAAAATTATTTTTTAATATTGAAGGACATTTTATACATACACACACATGTTAATTGAGGCCATAAAAAGTATCAACGAATTAATTGGATCAAAATCACACAAAGTATGTTCTACATAATGGAATGAAATTAGAAATTTCAGTGGAAACCAGTAACAGGAAAAGGAATTGGCAAAATTTACATATATGTGGAAATTAATATACAACCAAATAATAGGTCAAAGAACTCACAAGAGAAATGGGAAAATGGTTTAAGATGAAAGAAAATTAAATATAACACATCAATTTATGGAATGAAGTTAATGCAGGGAGTAAAGATGGACTATAATTCCTGAAAATGTCTATGTTAAAAAAGAGGAAGAGCTCAAATCAATAACCTGAACTTCTACCTTAATACCAGAAAAGAACAAACTAAACCCAATGAAAATGAAAGGAAAGAACAAAATAGAGAAACAATAGGGAAATTCAATAAAACCATAAAGTGGTTTTTAAACGATCAACAAAATTGACAAACCTATAGCTATGCTGACCAAGAAAAAAAAAAAAAGAAGAAGAAGAACATACAAAATTAGTAAAATAAGGAAACAGGAGATATTACCACTACCTATGCATAAATAATATGATAAATGAACACTACGAACAATTAAATGTCAATAAGCTAGATAAGCTAAATAAAATGAACAATTTCCTAGAGACAAAAGCTACTGAAATTGACTCAAGAAGAAATACAAATCTGAACTTACAGAAGAGACCAAGTAACCGAACAAAAACAAAACTTCCAACAAAGAAAAGCCCAAGCCCAAATGGTTTTACTGTCAAATAAATAAACAAAATTTTAAAAAAAAAGCTAATACTGCCCCAAGATGTCCTTCAACAGACAAACGGATAAAGAAGATGTGGTCCATATCCACAATGGAATATTACTTGGCCATCAGAAAGGATGAATACCCAAGTTTTGCATCGACTTGCACGGCACTGGAGGAGATTATGCTGAGTGAAATAAGTCAAACAGAGAAAGTCAATTATCATATGGTTTCACTTATTTGTGGAACATAAGGAACAGCATGGAGGACATTAGGAGAAGGGGAAAATGAAGGGGGAGAAATTGGACTAGGAGATGAAGCAAGAGAGACTATGGACTGCAGGAAAAGAAATGGAGAGTTTTAGAAGGGAAGAGGGTGGGGGAAATGGTGAGCCTGGTGATAGGTATTAAGAAGGCACACAGATTGCATGGAGCTCTGGGTGTTGTAGGCAAACAATGAATCATGGAACACCACATCAAAAACTAATGATGTACTTAATTTATGGTGACGTAACAATAAAAAATAAATGATTGTTTTTTAAAAAGAAGCTAATATTCCCCAACTTTATCTACAGATTATACCTAACCCTATCTAAATCATAACTAGCTTTTTTGGAGAAATAAACAAGCTGATACTCAAACTCATTAAGAAAATGCACCAGAATAGCCAAAACAGGAACCAGAATAGCCAAAACAATCTTGAAAAAGGACAATTTCAAAATTTATCACAAAGCTATAGTAATCAAAACAGTATGGTACTGGCATAAATGATGACATATAATATGACACTAGAGGGAATGGCTCAGTCAGTTAATCGCCAGCTTCAGCTCAGGTCATGATCCCAGGGTCCTGGAATCAAATCCCACTTCGGGAGCCTGCTTCTCCCTCTCCCTCTGCCATTCCCCCCATTTGTGCTCTCTGGTTCTATCTCTCTGTCAAATAAATAAATAAAATCTTAAAAAAAAAAAAAAAAGACAATAGAATAAAGACTTCAGAAATAAACACTTAATATTTATGGTCAACTAACTTTCTACAAGGACGTCAAGGCAATCAAATATGGGAAAGAATGGTCTTTTTAACAAATGGTAATGCAACCACTGGGTATCCACATGCAAAAGGGTGAAGGTGAACCTCTATCTTATAAAATATACAAAAACTGACTTAAAAGAGATCATAGATCTAAACATAAAAAAAGCTAAACGTACAGAAATGCTAGTATAGATTATAGGATTCTATCTTCATGATCTTGGGTTGGCCAATGGTTTCTTAGTTATGACACCAAAGCACTAGCCACAAAAGAAAAAAATATATTGGATTTCATCAAAATTAAAACTTTTGTTCATGAAGAACATTATGTAGAAAGAAAAAAGACAACACACAAAGTCGGAGAAAATGTATGTAAAATCATATACCTGGTAAGAGTCTAGTATGCACAATATATAAAGAGCTCTTAAACCTCAAGAACAAAAAGACAGCCAATTAAACAATGGAGGATAGGAGTAGGCATTTTTTCACATTTTCCCAAAGATATACAACAGCCAACAAGCATATGAAAAGAATGCTCAACATCATTTAGTCATAAGGAAAATGCAACTCAAAACCACAATGAGAACACTTTATACCCACTAGGATGGTTAAAATCAATCAATCATTAAGTGTTGGTGAGAAAGGATGTGGGAAAGTTGCAACCCTCATAAATTCTTAGTGGTAATGTAAAATGGTGCAGCTCTGGAATATAATCTGGCAGTTCCTCAAACAGTTAAACACAGAATGACCATATGATCCAGCAATTCCACTCTAGATACAAAAAATAAATCACATATCTGCCCAAAAAGCTCTATGAATGTATTCATAGCAGTACTTTTCCTAACAGCCAAAAAATGGAAACAACCCAAATATCATAAACTGGTAAAGTGATAAATAAAGTGGCATATGCATCTGATGGAAAAGTATTCAGGCATAGAAAGGAAGTACTGAGGCACCTGGATGGCTCAGTCAGTTAAGCATTCAACTCTTGACCTCAGCTCAGGTCTCAATCTCAGTTGTGAATACAAGCCCCACATTGGGCTCCATGCTGGGTGCAGAGTCTACTTTAAAAAAAAAAGGGGGGGGGAGAACAAAGTACTGATTCTTTCTAAATTTCTGACCCAGAGAAACAGTCCACTAATTAAAATACTTATTGTTTCATGTCATTTAATTTGGAATGGTATATAACACAGCAAAGATAACTGGAAAAGCACACGTGATTTTTATAGTAAAAACAAGTAACTCTTGTTCCCTGATGGTTCCTCTTTTCATAGTGCTCTAAAGTCATATACACAACCCCCCCACCAAAAGCAAGCAGATATGAAAATACAGGGGTACAGAAACACATGTATTTTTTTTTTTTAAACGTAAGAAAAGTATAACGTTTTCAAAATACCAAAAAGTATCACCTCCCATTCTGGTATGTTATAGAATTCAAAATACTCTCAAAAGATGTCATGGAGGTAGGGACATTCATCAGCTTAGGCTTCCATTTGGATGAAATTTCAGACAATTTTTCCTGAATGGTCTTGCCCTTAATAGGGTTTACCATAAAGCAACACTTTTCTGATTTCCCAGGTTGTTCTGAGGATAGGTTTGGCTTTATTGGTAACTTTGAAGTCTCCTATGTTTAACTTGAAGGTGTTACGACATTTTACTTTTTAAGTAACAGACAAATTCTGGCTTTGTCTATGTATACTGTATGATCTCAAGGAAAAATGACAACTTTCTTTGCCTTATCTATGTCTTACTTGATTTGATCAGGAAGATTTTAAGGATTAAATGAGAGAAGACATGAAAAGTCCTGGTCAGTGTTAGGCACAAGAGAGACAGAGCACCACTAAAAGCTAACCTTAAGACTCAAGACTATGGCTTAGTAGTTGCAAAAGAGAATCACATACGAAGAGCAATTATATGTATTTCTAAGTCATATTTTGCAATTTTTAGCAGACCATTTTAAAAATTAAGCGTACTATGAAACATATTAATTTATGCTAGATAAAGTAATATTTCAGTAACAGAAGGTTAATTTTTAATATTTACCTTGATCAAATATTTTTCCCATCTGTCTGCTGTAACAGATTTGCCAATCTTCCTCATTAACTTCAAATGGAGCTCCACCAATTCTTTTGGTACTTAAAAAAAAAGAAAAAAATACTATTAGCCAGCAGAAGAAAACGTTTATAAACATTTAAAATGATTTAAAAAAAGAACTTTCCGGGGCACCTGGGTGGCTCAGTGGGTTAAGTGTCCTTCAGCTCGGTCATGATCCCAGGGTCCTGGGATCGAATACCTGCTTCTCCCTCTCCCTGCTGCTCCCCTTGCTTGTACTCTCCCTCTCTGCCAAATAAATAAATAAAATCTTAAAAAAAAAAGAAAAGAAAAGAAAAGAAAAAGAACTTTCTCCAGCCCTGAATACTTTTTCAAAACAGATGATGTTGATTTTAGCTATCTTTTAGACCCCGAATCAGGAAAGACTAGACCAGGGCAAGAAATAACTGAAAACCACTCTCTTAAAAATGAGAAGGAATACTCATTCACATTTTCTTTCAAAGTCTTATCAAGTAAGAATGAACCTAGGTTTGCTCAGTTGGTTAAATGTCTGCCTTCCAACTCAGGTCACGATCCCAGAGTCCTGGGATCGAGCCCCACGTCAGGCTCTCTGCTCAGTGGGAAGCCTGCTTCTCCCTCTCCCTCTGATCCTCCACCCTGTTCGTGTTCTCACTCATTCTCTCTCAAATTAATAAAAAATCCTTAAAAAAATGAACTTGCATATAAACTGTGAATTTCTGAGTGATAATGATATGTCAATGTACGTTCATCAACTGTAACAAATGTGCTTCTGTGGTGCCAGGGTGTGGATAGTGGGGAGATTCTATGTGTTGCAGAAGACAGTATATGTGAACTCTCTGTACTTTGTGCTCTTTATTTCTGTGAAACTAAAACTGCTCTAAAAAATAAAGCCCATAAAAAAAAAAATCAAGTAAAAGCCCTTAACCATACAACTAAAATTTCTACTAGTGTTTATATCTCATAACACATATTTGGATAATTTACATATTGCAGATCAAGATATAGATCCATAGAATTAGAAACAAGGAATATAAATTCCAAATTGATGCGTATCTCAGAAATAGTCTAATGGTTTTCAAACAACTTCAAAAAACTACTCTTTCAATCTATACCTTAAGTTCTAAAGTCCTTTATAGCATCCCTATGGATCTTCACCTGACAACCTTAAGGGACAGAAAACTGACTTATCTTCTGAAGTTCTAGTTATTAGAAAGTTAGCCTTACATGTGGTCAAAATCTGCCTTCATACACCTTCCTTCCCTGATTCTTACTCTTATTTCTCTACCTTCAAAGACAATACTTTCAACTCTTCTTCTGATGGAACCTTCAAATATTTGAAGATTGTTTTATCCTCCCTCAGGTTTTCTCTTCTAACTGTAAACAACCAGAGTTCCATATATCCCTTGGGCATGATCTGATTACATTAATTATGAGTTAGACTCAAGGGAAATAAAAGACACACATATATGCCTATCAAATTTAGCATTTCCCAAATACCAAATAACCACTAGTAACCTAAGAAAAATTGGAGGTGTACTCTCTAAAAAGGTTCTATAATCACATGCATTAGAAAAATATTAGACCCCAAAAGAAGTTGTTTTGCTGTTGTTGTTGTTTTACTGCAGGACATCTTGACATCTCTATTGACTGATCTTAAGTGCATCATGAATATCCAAGAGAAGGATATAATCTCCACATTCTCTAATACATTTTATCAAGGAAATATTTATGTGTGAAATATACACTATCTTATCTTTGGATACAAGTGCTCTAAAGAACAGGTTGCCAAACGATGGACTAATTTTCAGTCAATCTTCCAGACTCTTCATTCTCCACTAAAGCCAATTTTAACTCAAAATGAGCTTGAAGTATAAAAACATTCACACATTCAACAGCTTTCTGTGGGACCACTACTAATAAACAAGAAAAGTCTCTACCCTTAATGAGCCTATTTAAATGAGTTTTCTAAGGATTTGAGGCAGTGCGTGAGTTGGAGGTGGGGATCAGGGAGGAACACAGAAGAGTGGTTATGGACAAGTAGATAGACTATTATACTAAGCCCAAACCTACATTTGGGATTGAGGAGGGGAGAGAGAAAAGAGGAGGAAAGGACACTGCTTACAGAAATAACAGCAAATGAAAGACTGAAAAATAAAATGATCATAGAAGCAGAGGCATGGGCATAGAAAAAGGGCATGATCATGAAGAACCTTAGATGTCCAGGCTACGAAGTTTACATTTTTTATTTTTAAAGGTTTTATTTATTTACTTGACAGACAAAGATCTCAAGTAGGTGGAGAGGCAGGCAGAGAGCCCGACATGGGGCTGGATCCCATGGGGCTGGATCCCTGGACGCTGGGACCATGAACCTGAGCTGAAGGCAGAGGCCTTAAACCACTGAGCCACCCAGGTGCCCCAGAAGTTTACATTTTATTTAAAAGTTTAGGCAAGGGGCCCCTCTCTGCTCATCAGGGAGCCTGCTTCCCTTCCTCTCTCTCTGCCTACTTGTGATTTCAGTCTGTCAAATAAATAAATAAAATCTTTAAAAAAAAAAAGTTTAGGCAAGGAAAAAAATAAATTAAAAAAAAAAGTTTAGGCAAGAGAGTGCGCTCAGCATTTTAAAATTTGGAAAGCAACTTCTTTTATTTGCTTGCTTGTTTTAGGAGGCAGGATGCAAGGCAGAGATTAAATGTAAATAATCTGGAAAATATCAACCCAGAAAGATGGGAGCAACCGATATTAGGTAGGTAGGGGAGGTAGAGACAGAAGTGGGCAGATCTGAGAAATGTTTAGGAAACAAATAATACAATTTGTAATTGACTGGTTGTGCAAAGCTATAGAGAAAATCAAGAAAACCTTAGGCACTGGCTAGGCAACTGAGTAGATGCCAATGACACCACAGTAGGGAAAAAAAAAAAAAGACCAGGGCTCAGTTGTCTGCTCAACCACTTAATACAAGGTGACTAGTATTCTTCTGGTGAAATTCTTTAAACACTGAATGTCAAACTCCTCATCTGTAAAGGGCTATATTAGCTATCTTACAGTTTAAAAGTACAAAAACAAGCTAAATAAGTCAATCGGAGAAAGACAACTATCATATGATCTCCCTGATATGAGGAAGTGGAGATGCAACGTGGGGGGTTTGGGGGGTAGGAAAAGAATAAATGAAACAAGATGGGATTGGGAGGGAGACAAACCATAAGTGACTCTCAATCTCACAAAACAAACTGAGGGTTGCTGGGGGGAGGGGGGCTGGGAGAGGGGGGTGGCGTTATGGACATTGGGAAGGGTATGTGCTATGGTAAGTGCTGTGAAGTGTGTAAACCTGGCGATTCACAGACCCGTACCCCTGGAGATAAAAATAAATTATATGTTTACAAAAAAAAATAAAAAATTTAATTAAAAAAAAAAGTACAAAAGCAAACATTACATAAAGCTACAACATCTTTATTTTTACTTCTATTGTGATACTTAGGGAACCAAGGCCTATTCCAATTTCTCCTTTTCTGCCTTCCCTAAACACAGCAGTCTTGATGATTCTGTTTTCATACACCTCAACCCTGCTCCCTCTTCCCCCAATATCTCCAGGATACCACTATACCGTCTCACTTCAGAAAAATAGCTATGGTAATCTCTTATAACCAAACCAACCTTCCAGAAATACTGTTTTCATAACACTTCTCATCTACTGATACATTTTCTGGCTCTTAAATTCCTACATTAAACATATACAGACTTCTTACCGTAGCCTCAGTGTCTTATAATTCCAGTCTCAACCTAACTCTCCAATCCTTCTCTCTCATTTTCACACTGAAATCCTTGATTCAAATCATTCTGGCCTGCTCACATACCCAGACCACTACCTATCTGGGCTTTATTTAAGCCCTCCAGCTCACTGTTTCCTCCCCACTTGAATCCTATTTCTCTTTCAGTGTCTCATCAATAAAAGGCCCAAAGTCTCTATGACAGCCTTCTGATGATTCCGTCAACACGTTTGTCCTTGGAACGCCCGAAGTATTCATACTGCCTGTATCATTCCCTTAGGAGTTCGCTAAAGCTTTACATCAGTGTTTTTGTACATATCATAAATATCCATATCATATCATACAGATCATATCATACAGATACACATATCTTCCATATCATACGGATATACATACAAATCACAAAAAACATTTTGATACAGTTGGTACTATTTCTAAAAATCTAACAGGACAGAAATAAATATACGCCAGAAAAATGGTTTTCAGCCCACTTGAAAAATATAGTAATTGTTGGTTTAGGCATGTAGAAATAAATTATACATTACTTGATTTCCTTATTAGAGCATTGGCTCTTACATAGCACTAACAGAAATATAAGATGAGCCATATAATTGCAAATTTTCTAGTAGTTCATTCATAAAGAGTTCAAAATTAACTTTAATAATGTATTTTATTTAATACTATATATCCCAATGTTATGTCATTACATACTGAGGATTTAAAATATCAGATATTTTATATTTTTTTCACTTGATTATTTTAATTTCTTTATTAAACTGTGGTATAATTGACATATAACACTGTATTTTAGTTTCAACTGTACAACACAGTGATTTAATATTTGTATACATTGTAAAATGATCACCACTTAAGTCATCTACCATCTTACATGCCTGTAAAAAAAAAATTTACTCTCTTAGCAACTTTCTAACAGGTAATCCAGTATTACTAAATGTAGTCATCATGATGTACATTATATTCCCATGATTTATTAATTTTATAGCTAGAAGTCTGTACCTTTTGACACCCTTCACTCAATTTACATCTTATTTTTTGTACTAAGTATTCAAAACATAGTGTGCATTTTATACTTACAGCACATCTCATTTCACACTAGCCACATTCAAGTGCTCAAAAGCCACTTATGGCTAGTGGCTACTATAGTGGATTATATAAAGCTGGCATAATTAAAACTAAAATTTATAACCCACAATTTGCTAATAATTTACTTATATTTTGAGATATAATTGACATATAACATTATATTAATTTCAGGTATCAAAATAATTTATGTGTAT